ATCGACTGTTAGCGATAAGGCCGCCCATTGCCTTATAACTTATGTAGCCTGCTTTTTAATTTTACTCTTTTTATATGTAGGTATGTTTTTGTATAAAGTGAAAATAAATAAATAAATACTTATTATATGTGACAAGGGCTCCTTTCCCGCGGTTAAATTCATCAATTAAACTAAGCGGAGATATTATAATGGATTGGACAATGTTTGACATTGATGGAGGTCGGATTTAACAAACGGACAAGTTTCTATCCCTTTGGAATGGACTGAAACTTTGGGTTTGGGTTTGTTGACCGTTTTTCACTTGCCTAAGTCCATAACTGCGGCTAATATAGATTTTAATCTTAGGCAAGTAGAAAATAAGTTTTATTAAATCTATAAACCTTCAAAAAACATTATATCCTTAAATTTCTGCATCGTCTTCATTAGTAATTTTTGTACAATCGTGGACATAATTTTACAATTCTTAGATCTAACATATGCCACTTTCTTTGCGATAGTCGATAATATATCTTTCGTGTTGTTCCCACGAGAATGTAAGTGCGTGATTCTATTTCACCATGCCTACTGCGGATAGAGGACAAATCATTGTTTTTTATTATTATTAATTACTTAAAAATGTCATGTGTAATGGTTGCAGCTTATGTATAAAGTTGTAATGGTACAAACATTTTGCAAAACATAAAACTTGGCCATTAAAAAGAGTGGCGGAGAGTTTATTGTCAGTTCTTCTCGTCCTTTCTACGCACTTGATTTGATCTGGCAGTAAATTTAAAATTAGAAGCATTTAATATGTATTTCTTTATTGAAGTTCACAAGTGTACATTGTGTTACCTAAATGAATAAATGATAACAGAAGCGCAGTACTTTCGTGATTTGCAACATATAAATAGAAGTTCAAAATCATTTAGAAATCTCCACAAAGCGTTGAAAATGGTTGCTGCAATAAAGTTAACTCCAAATCGTTGCACCATTCTTTCCATTAACGTAAAGATGGTGCCCACTACATTGATTAAGCGAGTAATGTCTAAAAACACTATAAAATTCCAAAATTTATATACACACTAAATACATCTAAAGCTTGAACGGTTTAAGAGTCGACTTGAAATTAATAAAATATTATTGATTGTTTCATATAATATTTTAGAAATAAGTTTTTCTCCAACGTTATGTAAAACTTCGTGAGTTGAGTATTTTTGAACACACATTAAAAAACTAATGGAATTTATGGAACGAAGTTCCTTATCGCGCGTTGCGAAAGGGGGCTAGACGGAAAAAATTAAGACGAAAAGTTGTAACGACGAAGCTAGCGACATCTCTATGTTGGAACGGATGGAATTTTTTTTACATAGATGTCAATAGATATGGTCTCTAAAGAATTAGATTTGTTGTCAAAATGATACACAGTAAATTAATACAAAATAATAATTTTAGGCACTCTAATAATAATCACATGATCAAGTTTTTATTAACATTTTACAACAAAAAAACCATAGCAAAAATTAACAAAAGATTTTTTTATATGGAAAAAATTTATTACAATTCCTTCACTAATTAATCGAAAGGAACTTCGTTCCATGCGGTCCCTTGACACCTCTCAAGTTTTTTAAATTAAGAAACTCGAGTCAACAATTATATAAAAATCTGCAAATTATTTTTGCCTTGCATATTAAATATTTACAAAAAAATCTTATACGATGTCGTTTAGTTACTGCTGATAGATAGACTACTGGTTTTTTACAAAAACAAAAAGATAATCCTTCAATAATTCCTCAAATATTCATACATACCAGATCATTGCAATCAAAGTACTCGACTGTCTCTTTTCGTAACAGTGTAAAAATAATTCGACAGAAAGAGACGTAAGAGGCGGATTAGTTTTTATATAAAATACAAAAATATTTAATGTACAATACACATAAGAGAAATCATTATTAACTGCGTTGTATGTATGAGAAAATATTTTGTATTAAAATACTAATTTCCTTATCGTATCAACTGGAGTCACGCCCTCCTCTTTGTTATTGTACTTCGTGTAAATGTTAGCATTTGCAGTTTTATGACACGCTATCACACGAGCTCGTGACGGACTTTGATGAAATACCGCAAATGTATGCCTTACATTGTTATCTTACATTTTTACACAATCTTTTGCCTCCTCTGAAATAAACTTTTAAACTTATATTTTACTAACATACTCATTTGCCCCGTATTGAAGTTAGAAAAATTGCGTTCTTCGTATAATCACGTAAAGCATAAACCTAATACAAGCGTGGGTCCTGCGTTTTATCCCACTTGATATTACAATATCCAGGATCATGGATACATCCACGATCATGATTTATTATGTACTGTCATAGTACAGAATACTTTATAAATACTCTTTAGATAATAAAATTGGGTTTATATAATAGACAAATAAACGAAACCCTCTTTTAGTAAAGTAATACCATCATACGATCAGATCGCATTTGAATCTATCTCTACCCAGCGGCAGCTTAATATTATGTAGTTTTTTGAGAGCGACACGAATCTAATTATTTGGCCACTAAGTAAATAAAAGTAAAGTAAGTTATTATCGCGCACTCTTTGTGGAACCAGCTGCCCACTGAAGTATTTCCGAACCAAATCGACTTAGGGTCCTTCAAGAAAAGAGCGTACCAATTCTTAAAAGGCTTCAGGTAATGTGGTTGTGTCCATGGGCGGCGGTATCACTTAACATCACATGTGCCTCCTGCCTGTTTGTTTGCTATTACATAGAAAAAACCGCTAACTGAAATAAGGTTGTTTACAAAAATAACTTTGTACGTGTTTGATCTGGGGTAGAATCAATGCCAACTTAAGTAAGAATACCAATTAAATATTCAATGTTTGAAAATTTCTTCGAAGTAATCTTTCTTTGCTGAAATGCTTTTCAATAATCCTAAGGTTCTGTCATTTTCACAAATCTACTCCAAAGTAAAAAAATGTAGGGTAAAAAATACTAATAAATAATGGCGAATATTAAATACTTTATTTAATAAACCATTCGGTAATTTACAGAAAATATTGAATGCGTGATTATGGCAACATAGTAATCGATTAAAATAATTTATATTCTTTTCTTAACATAGGTGTACGCAACGTATTAAATAACAGGTAAGCCCTAGATCTATGCTTAATAACGATTTTACTAAATAATACATTTTAATTGTAGGGACTAAATTTGACGTCTGGTGGAAATGGAGAAATCGATCTATATAAACTGAAGTCGGGATGAAAAATCATTTTTAATTTTCGAATTTTGAAATGGGTTTTATTAAAAATAAGGGTCGATGTAGTTACTAATATGTTTTCTTTTTTCTTGATCTAGGGCCACTTGACTTTTACAATGTCGGGTAAAAATCATCTTGGCACAGTGACTCAAGGTGATAATAAATAGCCTCTTAACTGTATCTGTTTTCATTGTTTGTCAGATTCAAGTAAACGTAACTTTTGTGCTTCGTATGTGGTCAACGGTTATCTCACAAAGTTTACCTTCAAGACAATGCAAGCGCTAATAAGTCATTTCGCTTATTCACAATAATAATTCATTTGTTTGAATTCAAGACCTCACAAACTACACGTTTAACTTATTGAATAACAGCATAAAGGCGAAAAACACATTCCTTTAATTTAATTATTTATGTGTATAGTCGGAGCAACGCACTTACTGTATGAAGACAAAATACTACGGAATATCTACGTCAGTTTAGTCCTTACAATAAATTACAATAACTTATTTAACAAATATAAAGAAGAAAATACATTGGAATGTTATCAAAAAACTTTATATATTGAAAATTTACAAGAATTTTCCAGAATATATAGAAAAATGGGATAGGTTATATCTATGTTGTTATTATTAATAATTTTGTCTACGCTGTGTTAGAAATGATACGCCATTTTAAAGATTCATTTGAATTAAATTATCACGCGTTTTAATGGGTTCAAATGTGTTAGAGATTTTCCATAGATTTTTTATTCCTCGACTCATCTCCACGATACACAAAACTCTAATGTAGAGACATATCATTTAAAACACATTACTATAACTGTCTTTTGTACGTAATTACGATATAACTAGCGATAAATAGAGAACAATTTTACATTGAGTACCTTGTGCATACTTATATTTAAATATGTAATTACATTTCGACTAAACAAAAACAAGGTATTTTAGTTAAAATAACATAAACGTGACTAGAGATATTTTACTATTACTTAGAGCAGTTTTTAATTCCTTTTCTTAAAGGTAATTTGCGTCTTAAACAAAAACATAAAAAAATCCTCTTTCTCTAGGGTTAATACCTTAATACAATTAAATGGTTCACTGCCTCTTTAATACATAAATAAAGTAGGATAGTTTAAGTTTTAACTGAAACGCTCATTTTACTAGCTTAAATATACTGTAAGAAAGAAACGAATAAAAACTTAAGCTAAAAAAATTAGACTGATTTAGTTTATAATTGAAAGATTTAACCCATTCAAATACGAATAGTAATGATTTTATAGACAGTAAAATTAAATACATAATCAGACTCTTTTAAATAAATAAAAAAAAAGACACAGCGAATACAGCGAATTTTTAACTTTAATTTTGTAATTAATATTAAATATGTGTTGGCTATTTACTGTAGAACAAAATGTATAGTTTTTTAATTACCTTTCTACCTGCACCAGTGCCGTTTCACTCTTATTCGACTGGAAAGGACAAATACAAACTCATATCTAGAGGCCAGTAGGTGTCCAATAGTGATAGGGCCGAGTCCTACAATCTTACTACTTTTGGGGGAAGGGGATGCGAAAATGCGTCTCCACATTAGGTGGAAGGAGGAAAAAAAAATTGCCCGATAGCGATTGAGAGTTACAAAGTACCTGTGTTGTTCTATGTTTTAAATGCTTCAAAAACCTTTTAATAACTTTAAAATTAATCTAGAAGAATTAGTTAGTTGTAATTTCGTACAAAAGCCATAGGGATAAAATTAATTGGTATCTTTGCGAACTTTGTGACCGCGGAAGGAGGCCTGTATCTTAGTGGCAGCCTTGTTCAGCTCGGGATCCGTCAAGTCGATGTTCTCGACATCCTCCTGTAACAAGAAATTTGTATTATTAAAGTCGCTTATCAAACTTCCCTCTATCTTACGAAGGATCCAACACGGCTGTAAGTAACTGCATGTTGCAACACGATGTATTTAAATAATTGTTACACCATGGCTAAAGTGACCATTTATTATTTGACTCAAAACGGGACTTTGTTTTAAATTAGGTAAAAAGTATTTAATGAAAAAAAAAGGGTGCGTGTAACTTCATTTTTTTTAAAGTTATTTATTTAGAAAAAGTTACTTGGCATAAAAGTTACGAATCACAAAATATAGGTACCCAAAATGTTTAGTTATATTTATATAAATTATTAGAAGAACAAATTTGTTTTAATATAGCTAGTGACGATTTCAAATAAGAATGAAAGTCTTGGCACGTGTTTTTATATTCTGCTACTTTTTTATATATTCGCGCGGTTTCTGAAAACGGGACAATAGTGCGTCCCACAGTTCATTTCGGGGACACCGGGACTCTTAATTGGAAAAAGGGACAGTCCCGTTGAAAACGGGACGTCTGGTCACGTTAACCATGGCTGGCCCTTTAATCATCTCCCAGAAGTTACAGACCACTGCCGAGTAATGCTTTCAAGGGGAAGGAGATCGATTTTTAATGTCAAGGTGATTTAATTTGTGGGAGAGTTTTTAGATCATACGTTTTGACAACAATAGGAAATATCTTAACTGTATTATGACATTATGATTATTAATGTGACATTTGCTTGCCTATTTTATATGGCTGATGGTGCGGTTTTTTTATAATTAATTAATCTGAATCTACCACTTTCTTTAGGCAAGTTTGAACTTTCCCTATCTCATTGACAACAGCAACATACCAAAATATATATTACACAATATTATGAACTCCTTTTTTATTGCAATAATGGATTGTTACCCATAATAGTTAAATGGCATAAATTAACATATACAGCAAAACACCTTAATTCATAAGGGTTAATTTAACCTACTATAAAATAATATCTAATTTATTACTTGTCTTTATACATAATACACAATTCATCAGTTTTATTTTCGACCGAAAATTGGTAAGACATCTTTTCAGACATGCTAAAAATACATCAAAAGGTTTTATCAACAAGATTCCTTCTATTTGGGAATATTAAGCTCACAATTCAGTGATCACAAAAGCGCCCACCGAGTCTTCCCGAAAGCCGACTGAAGCTCTTTAAACACCTACTCGAAAATCCACAGTTATTGAATCAGCAACACAATTTACATTTGTTTCTTAAAAGCTCTTATACCAGGGTCTCATAGGGTGACAAAACTCAGTGTTAAAACCGGTCAAGTCCCCTTTTGACCTGCATTGTAATTCCTGTCACGTTCCCGCCACTTAGCTATAGCTAGGAGGTTTTCTTATTCTAGAAACGCTCTTATTGTGGCCTGAATTGGTAATGGCTCGCTACAATTGCTATCGATTTCAAGTTGGAGTGAAGTTCAAGTAAGTAATTTTTTTAAATAGAAATCGCATTAAGTGAACCCAGTATTATTTTAACAACAGCATTCCATTTATTTAATTTTAATATAATCTAGACAAATAGTTATACTAACGTAAATGACTCATGTTTTTTACATAATTATGGGCCACAGTATTTAAAGAATTACTTAGAAAAACATTTAAATTAAAAATAAAACAATCTTTTTTGTTATTTCCAAGTTGCTTATTACCCAATGTTTATATATTCGTACGTGTGAAACAAAAATTCTTGTATATATGGGTTCAAAGTCAAAACCGAAAATAGACTAATTAGTTAATAAGTTTTCTACAAAAATATATACAGATTTATCAAAATTAAGTCTGGGACAGAAGATTCCAGGCCTAATTTGAGGTCATTGGCAAACTTCTAAGGCAAGAATTGTTATGATAGTGAACTGTAAACTAGCCTTTAGATTAATTATTAAGACAAGTTTAAAACTCTTTCCAAATAACAATCGATCGAGCATACCGGTATTTTTTTTTTTGAGACAAACTACTTTATCTTATGAAAAATGATTAAACGATTTAAAGTATGAAAATCATTAGTTTTAGATTGGATATTTTACGCAGAAGTTAGAATTAAACACCTTGTCAAAGTCCAGATCATGTGGAATTCAAATTTAATTTAATATTGATTCATGAATAAAAAATTCTAATAGGTAGAAACATGCAGTAAGAAGCATAATCACAAACACCCTCAGGGTCGAATGTGTACAGAATGATATGCATTTTGTATTTTTTCTATCTGTACAAAATTTCTCTTTTACTACTTAAATACCTCTCCCCCTCTTTTTTTATATTTGAATAATTAAACTCAGTAGTAGAAACACTCGCAGATCACTAAATAAATTCAGGTCGTTTTTTCCAATTATATATGACACAATACCCCACATTTTCAGCCAAAAACATTTTTAGCACAAAAACAAAAGATCTGTCAAGCCCTCTCTTTATAATGACTAAGAATGTGAACTACTTTTGTGGTATGAGTCTTTTGATATTTCGCCTTTGTCGAAAAAGCCTTTTATTTGCTTTGATATGGAGGTAAAAGTGTATCGTTGTGTGTCGAATGATGTAGAATTTGAATGACGTTCATAGATTTATATTTATGCACAGGACAATTCTTAATACAATGTTAAAGATACATTCTGTTTTCTTTCCTATCGTCAGTAGTTTCGTCGTATATCGTGGTTAATAGTTCAGTATGATAATGAGTATGACGCAATTAATAATATTAGCCTTTTATTTCATATACTTTTACACTTAAACACATTTATATCTCTATCATCTCATTCTATTAGGTATCTGTGAGCCCTTTTTTGGCAAAGGCCTCCTTCAATCCCATTCCTGTCTGCAATGTACCATCTGCTGTTTCCTTAATTTAATCTGTCCACCTTCTAAATTATTTTCCTCTTGTCATTTACTGAAGCTTGTTAACCAGTTTAATACTTTCTTGCTTCATTTTTCTGTTCCTCTTGCCATGTGCCCCACCCATTACCACTTAGATTATTTATTTTTGTTATAACGTTACTACCTTCGTTGTTCTTCTTAATGATGTATTCTTTATTTTATCTATGTTCTTTTCTTCCCAATCATACGTCCTTCCATCTTTGACCCACCTGTAGCTTTGAGAAGCAATTAACAATTATCTTATATTAAATGTTATTTTATTTTTCGATGGAGTCATCTTAGGGATTAAAATACACTTTGTATATGTCTTTTCCTTAGCTAAGCTCTTTTAAAGTGTTCTTCCTAATCCCTTAAAAATCAGAAACCGCGGCGACAGCTCCGTCATCACAAATGTTCTAATTTATGACCCCTTTTTTTCTTTAAAACGCGGAAATAGGTATAAATCATTAGGAGCTAGGTCCGGTAAATATAGATAATGTTTCCAGTTCCAGTATCTTAACTGGCAGATATCACAATTCTGAACTTGTGCGGGGGGTCTTTATCTTGGTGAATCCAACTTCTGCAAGTTTGCCAAGCTTGCTTGCGAATGTCCTCACGCAACTTTGTCATTTGTCCTTCATACAAAGATTCCGTAATAGAGGCTCCACGATAAGGGATTGGGGACGGCGCACCCAGCGCTGCCCTGACACATTTTTCATACCCAAATGGTATGTATGTTATGGAAACTTCTATATAGTGGACTGCAAACCCCTTATGTTGCTCTCAAGTCTTGATTTACCAGCTCCGTGAGAATCTCTTCAAGTCTTCGATTGTCCATTGGTTTAGTATGAATAACCTTCTACTTAATGCAAAAAAGACAAAATGCATTAAATTTTGTGCAAAAAATGCAAGGGTTATGGATACTAGACCAATTATAAACGGTGAGGAATTGAATCTGGATGATACAACTGTATTTCTCGGAATCACCATGGATTCAAAACTTCAGTGGTCCCCTCATATTAACGGATTGGCGAAGAGACTTAGTTCTGCAGCCTACGCGGTTAAAAAAATTCGTTCACTAACTGATGTCGATACAGCTAGACTTGTCTATTTTAGTTACTTTCATAGCTTAATGACTTATGGCTTATTATTATGGGGTCATGCTGCTGATGTCGAAACTATTTTCATCCTGCAGAAGAGGGCTATTCGTGCAATCTATAATTTAAAATGTAGGGAATCTCTTAGAGATAAATTCAAGGAAATTAATATACTTACCTTTCCCTCGCAATATATTTATGAAAATATTACGTATGTATACAAAAATAGTGATAAGTTTACTAGAATAGAACATACGCACAATGTTAATACACGGAACAAACGCAGGCTGCAATTTCCCCGTACTAGACTATCTAAAGTTAGTAATTCTTTTTTGGGGAAAGGGATACTCTTCTTTAATAAAATCCCAGAGGCTTTTTTATCTCTGCCTTTCAATAAATTTAAGAAATGTATTAAAGAAAAGCTGTTTAAAAAGGCTTACTATAAAGTCAACGATTATCTAGTTGATAAAAGGGCCTGGGACTAGTGCTAGACAGGCTACTTCTAATAAATTTGCGATATTTGTTTTAAATAAGTGTTGTTTGATGATTTGCTGTTTTAAAAGAGTACCGAGAGTTTTTTACGCCGGCGTTTTCTCTCGGCCTACACCCTCTGTCTTCTTTGCCGATGAGTAGGGATGCCTAAAAGTTCAAATTTAATGACGTGGAATAAGTGATACATGTATCTTATGTTCCATAATAAACATATTTTATTTAATTTTTATTTTTATTTTATGTTTGTTTGAAATGCCTGTCATTTTTTCCTTCCAAGGAGAGTACAACGCATTATTACTGAACACGGAAATAAATATAATTTGTATGTATCATATTTATTTGTTTGTTTCTTAATTAATATGAAACAAACTTCTATTGCATTTTTTTAAAATTCAAATATATCTTGCTGTCGTTGAAGCGACAGACCCATGCGGGAGACATTAATGAATCGGGTGAAAATTTGAATGGCGTCTTCTGTCATACGATGTGAAGTTTAAAGGATTTCTTGACAATGGTGAAGT